CTCTCTCTCATTCTCTCTCATTCTCTCTCTCTCTCTCTCTCTCTCTCTCTCTCTCTCTCTCTCTCTCTCTCTCTCCTGTCTTTCCCTGCTTCTACTTTCTCTCCCACTCCACCTTCCCATGTCCCAAAAAAAGTTCACTTTATACTAGACACGTCGTATGGCTGATACCGTGGGTTGGAGGGGGGCGATGGCTCAACACTGGCCCGCTAAGGCATGCTTCCCACCACACCATGCTGCCGCGTTACAAAACAAGTCAGCCTCATTGGAAGAAGTGTGTCACTGGAGGTAGGCTTTGGAGGTCTCAGATGCTCAAGTCAGGCTCAATGTCACTGTCTCTCCCTGCTGCCTACTGACCTGGATATAGAAGTCTGTGCTCCATCTCCGGCACCATGTCACCATGTCTGCCTGTGTGCTCCCACGACAATAACGGACTAACCCCTGAACCTGCAATCCAGTCTCAGTTAAATGATTTCCTTTACAGGAGTTGCCATGGTCATGGAGTCTCTTCACAGCAACAGAACACTAAGGTGTCACTCCTGGGTTTCTGTGTGTATGTGTGGGGAGTGGCACTTCAGATGTGACCTCATCCGCAGCTCCACCCACTGGCCCTCCTCCCTCAGTCTCCCGAGAGCTCACATGAGCAACTGTGTGGGACTCACAGTTTTCAGTGCTTGAGAATTTTAATTTTATGTGTGCTGTTCACTGTGCCTGTTTTTATTTCTTTCAGATTTTTCCATTTGTCAGCTGGGAGGGACCACAGCCACAGCCATACTGTTACCGTGTGCAGCCTGAGGAGACCCCTTATCTCTCAGGACTTGGCTACAGACGACACAGATTCATGACCTGGATGAGGAAGAAATTTTGTGAGTGGCCTATAAATGAATGATTCCTTTTAAAAAGGTTATTTGTTTATCTTATGTATATGAATACAGTGTCACTGTTTTCAGACACAGCAGAAGACGACATCAGACCCCATTACAGATGATTGTGAGCTACCATGTCATTGCTGAAAATTGAACTCAGGACCTCTGAAGAGCAATCTGTGCTTTTAACAGCTGAGCCATCTCTCCAACCTGAATTATTCTTTTTTTTTTTTTTTTTCCGAGACAGGGTTTCTCTGTGTAGCCCTGGCTGTCCTAGAACTTACTCTGTAGACCAGGCTGTCCTCGAACTCAGAAATCCACCTGCCTCTGCCTCCCAAGTGCTGGGATTAAAGGCGTGCGCCACCACTGCCCAGCCTGAATTATTCTTAATATAAATGTTAGTAATGAATTAATCCAGTGGCTGTATTTCTTTACCTTATACTATTCCCCAGTAATCACATAGAAAAAAACTATTTATTTAAAACTCCACTTCAATAGCTGAGCTCAGTCTACGCTAATCTGGCTCCTCCCAGTCCATCCCATGATACTTGCATAGTATTACTGATCTGGCTCTTTGGGCTTCAGGTTTGTTTCCATGATCTCTCTCCTGACCCCTTCCTCATGGCTCTAAATCATCCATCTCCTCACTGATCTGAGTCTCCCTCTCTCCCTCTCTCCTTCCCCCGGCTGGCTGATGTCCCGCCCTAATTCTCTGTTCTGCCCAGCCATTGGATGATCAGCTTTCATTGACAAGGCAGAGAACAAATGGTAAGAACTGTAACACAAACTTGAGACAGGAGATTCTGGTGTAAGCATTACAATGCCCTGTCCTGACTGAAACAATATTTGAGGGCAGAGAGCTCGACATGGGAATGACACAAGGGTGAACTTTACACAGTGCACAAACCACTAAGCCTGTAGTGGCCACTTCAGGAAGTAGAGTTGCGATTTGATGAGGTGATTTGATGTAGGCCATCATGGGACGGGGGGAGGAGAGTCAAGGCAGGACCCAGAGCAGGTCACACAGATCCAGTCAAAAGCAGAAAGAGACAAATGCAGCATCTTTCCCTGCCTTCAGCATCTTCTCCCAGGGGATGGTGCCACCCACAAAGGGCCAGACCTTCTCAGCTCACTTATGTTTAACCAAGGCCATCCCCACAAGCAGACAAACTTCATCTAGGCACGTCATGAAGACTCTTGCTAAGTGATTCTAGGTTGTGTCAATTTGATAGTTAAAACTAATCTGGTGAGATAAAAATCAGAAATCACAGGTTGCAAGAGGGTTTCAGTACATTTGTATCCTTTCCCTATAAAGGGGATTTTTGGTGAGACTTCTAGGAAATAGTATCTTTTTAGCCTGGGTAGAAGAAAAGCCGTAAGGAGTTAGTAATTGCCCTGGAATTCTCTGATAGGGAATGGCTTCAGCTGCCTGTGAAGGTGGCAGCGTCTTCTCCCCTCTCATGCTCCCCACGGCTGGCTGCCCAGGTTTACTACCCTGACTTATTGCACACCCTAACCAACCCAGTTTGGTAGTTAAAACCACACCATGTCAATGGTGGGATGTGTGTTCAGGGGATTGGCAGAAGCACTTGGACAGTGATGCAGGGGGATGGACATAAGTTCTTGGTTTTCTTTTTGCTTCCAAGACAGGGTTTCTCTGTGTGGCCTTGGCTGTCCTGGAACTTACAGAGTTCCTCCTGCATTTGCCTCCTGAGTGCTGGGATTAGAGGCCTTGGATTTCCATAAGTTTATGGTCAGCCTGAGCTACATAACACCTGGTAAAACAAAAATAGGAGAGAGAGCTTAGTGGTTAAGAGTACATATAGCAAACCGGGTGGCGCTGTTTGAGGCCAGCCTACTCTACACAGTGAGGCCCTGTGACAAAAAAAGAGTACTTACGGCTTTTGCAGAGGGCTTGGATTGGACTACTCCCAACTCTAGCCTTGAGGATTCTAATGCCTTCTTCTGGCCTCTGTAGACACTGTACTCCCATGCAGACACCCACACGAAGACATCCACATAACTCAAAATTAAAGATAAAGCACTTTTATTTTTTGAGACAGGTTTTTCTGTGTAGCCTTGGCTATCCCGGAACTTGCTCTGTAGACCAGGCTTGCCTCAAACTCACAGGGATTCCCCTGGCCTCCAGTGCTGGGGTTAAAGGCGCGCACCACCACTGCTAGGCTGATACTCTCTGTTTTTTTTTTTTTTTTTCTTTTAGGCATCAGAAAGAAGTTAGGGTATGCAAAAGATAGATCTGTAAATAGGTCTCAAATATAAAATAAGACGACTGACGTAGATCGCTTAGTGGTTAACAGCATTGCTTTCACAGAAAGTGGGATATGCCAATTTCCAAGATTGGCGAGGTGGATGAAGAGCGTTCCGGGCCAGGCTGGGCTAGTGGAACTGTCATTTCTTTTTTTCTTTTTCTTTCTTTCTTTTTTTTTTTTCGTTTTTCGAGACAGGGTTTCTGTGTGTAACCCTGGCTGTCCTGGAACTCACTCTGTAGACCAGGCTGGCCTCGAACTCAGAAATCCACCTGCCTCTGCCTCCCAAGTGCTGGGACTAACGGCGTGCGCCACCACCGCCCGGCGAAACTGTCACTTCAAAAAGGGAAAAAGAAAAAAAATTAAGAAAACAAAACCAAAAAAAAAAGAAAGAAAAAAAATAAGAAAACAAAGCCAAAAATTTCATAGGACCAGTTAGTTGGTGGCTTTGGTTCAGATTTGTCTCGAGGAAAGTAGCTAAATCACGTGACCGGCTCCCAACCACGTGGTCTGCCTCGGTGCCTCCGGGGCCCGCCGCCGCACCGTGCTTTAGGTCTGACCCTCTTGGTGCCTGTCAGACTAACTTCCGGTCTTCGTGACGTCTCCACAGGGTAGTTTCCATAACAACCATCTTTTGCCCGCCTTCATGCGACGTCACTTCTGTTTTAGGGCGCATGGTGCACTTGAGCGCGTGCGCAAAAGGAAAGGACACAGGAAATGTTTTTCCTGCGCAGGCGTCATGGTCCTGAGGGCGGGGCTTGGCTGCGCCGCGGTGCGCAGGCGCAGCCGTCGGTGGGTCGGGTCTTCGGTCGACTGAGAGGTGAGGCTGGGGGCTCCACCGCGCCCCGTATGGGCGTGGAGGTCCGTGGGTGTAGCTTCGCGGTGCTCGAGAGCCCGTGAGACAAAGGTGGTTTGCGATCGGGACTCCTTGGCCCTTCGGGGTCTCGTGAGCGGGCGGCGCAGAGGGGAAACTGAGGCAGGCGGCATCTCCCCCACCCCTCGTCGCTGTTTCTCACGAAAGGCCAGCGTTTAGGTGTGGGGGCGGACCCCAGCTTCCTCGGGGTCCCTCTGGTCTAAGACCCTCTCACATTGCCGTTCCTCACCCTGGTGACCTTGCTTAGCCTGCCCACAGCCTCGGTTTCCCTCTTCTGTACATTGGACGTTGTCACCACCGTCTGAGCGGTTGTCGGTGCTCGTTTCCATTGGGAGGGTGTGTTTGATTCCGGTGTCAAAGATAGGTAGAGTGTGGGGTTGAAGGGCAGAGGGCCAGCTGTCTACCTGCTGTGTATGCTAGGGCAGATCGCTTGCCCTCTCTGAGGAGCTGTTCTCTTAAAATAGTGGTAAGGCAGAGGCAGGAGGATCGTCGTGACTTCCATGTCAGCAAGGACTACATACTTTGTCTCAGAAAACAAAACAACAACTAAAAGCAAGGGCCCTAACGAATAGCCTAGATCTTTGGTCCATAACGTATAATCCAGTCTTTCATTTGAGAGGGGGAGGCAGCTGGATCACTGGGAGTTCAGGCTCAGCCTGGAATACCTAGTGTGGTTCAGGACCCAGCCTGGAATACCTAACATGTTGAAGTTAGCTGGACCACAATGTGAGACCCTGTCTGAAAATGAAGTAGCCATAATTAATTTTAGCTAGTTTGTTTTTTTGAGACAAAGTCTTTATCTGTCTCTAGCTGTCCTGGAACTCACTATGTAGACCAGGCTGGCCTCAACTTCCAGAATTGGAGGTGTGCACGCCACACCTGGCATCATAATTAATTTAAAAAGGCTGGTAGTTTCCTGGGTAGCTGTAAGCTGGGGTTGCTGGCTGGGGTAAGCTGGTTGCTTGTGGGAGGCTAAGGCAGGAAGATGTGAGTGAAGTTACGGCCATGTTGGGCTATATGGTGAAACCCTCCTGTCTCAAAAGCCAGGCCATGGTGGTGCCTGACTTTGATCCCAGCACTCAGGAGGCAGAGGCAGGAGGATCTCTCTGATTTCGAGGTCAGCCTGGTCTACAGAATGAGTTCTAGGACAGCCAGGTTGCACAGTGAGACCCTGTCCTGAAAAAAAAAACAAAAACAAAGATGAAATGTTAGCAACAACAAAAACAGAAAGTCAGTTGAAATTGTTATGCCTCTGTGTCTCTGTCACCTGGAGGGTCATTGTCCTAAGGTCCATTAGCAAAGATCTGTTAGCCTTTTGCAGGGGCTGCTGACTGACACAGGGTCCCCACCAGCTGATAGAGGTGACTTTCCTGTTTTGTTTTGCCCCTGTCTCTGGTAATTTGTTCTACCAGTCTTTTTATTGATTATTCTCATCCACGGGGACCCTGGGCGGTGTGTATGGATGTTTGTGATCAGTGTGACTGAAGGAGCTTCTTTTTTTGTTGTTGTTTTTTCAAGACAGGGTTTCACTGTGTAGCCCTGGCTGTCCTGGAACTCACTCTGTAGACCAGGCTGGCCTCGAACTCAGAAATCCACCTGCCTCTGCCTCCTAAGTACTGGGACTAAAGGTGTGCGCCACCACTGCCCGGCCTGAAGGGGCTTCTGATGTGACACTGACACAGGATGGGAGTCAGGAAAGTTGACCACAGAGCAGTGCTTCTGGTGGGAAACAAGTCAGTGAGCAGTGTGCTTGCCACGAGAATCTGAGTTCGAGTCCTGTACTCACCCATGGAAAAATCGGAGAGCGCTGGTGGCACTTGTAATTTCAGTGCAGGGAAGGCACAAGAGAGGCAGATCCTAGGCTCTGTGGACAACCTGCCTAGTTCCATTATCAGCTCTGTCCCAGGGACAGACACTGTCTCTGAAAGATGACATGCTGCCTGGAGAGAGGACGCCCAAGGTTGATGTACCTCTGGTCTCCACATGTGTGTGTGGACACACACGTGCACACCATACACACACACACACCACATCACAATCCACTCCCGTATATACATGTCACTCATACACACACACATATCACAGACATACACCTCACACACTCAGACACTCACACACACATCACAGGCATACACCTCACACACTCAGACACTCACACACACATCACAGGCACACACACACACT